CTCTATACTGTTGGTAATAATTTTATGGTTTTATTCTCCCCCAAAAAACCCAAAAAAAAAGGAAAAAGAAAAAAAAAAAAAAAATTTTTTTTTTAAAAAAAATTTTTTAAACCAAAAAAATTTTTAAAAAAAAAGGGGTTTCAAAAAAAAAATTTAAAAAAAAAACCCCCCCCAAAAAAAAAAAAATTTTTTAAAAAATTTTAAAAATTTTGGGTTTTTTTAAAAAAAAAATTTTTTAAAAACCCCCCTTTTTGGGGGCCCCTTTTTTTTTTAAAAAGAAATTTTTTTTTTTTTTTAAAAAAAAAAAATTTTTTGGGGGAAATTTTTTTTTTTAAAAAAAAAAAAAAAGTTTTTTTTTTTTTAAAAAAAAAATTTAAAAAAAATTTTTTTTTTTGGGTTTTTTTTTTTAAAAAACATTTTTTTTAAAATTTTAAAAACAAAAAATTTTTTAAAAGGGAAAAAACAAAAAAAAAAATTTCCAATTTTTTCCCCCAAAAAGGGGGGTTTTTTTTTAAAAAACTTTAACGTTTTTTCCTTTTAAAATTAAATTTTTTTTTTTTGTTTAAATTTAAAGGTTTTAAAAAAAAAATTGGTTTAAATTTTTCTTTTTTTAAAAAACCCAAAAAAAAATTTTTTTTTTTTTTTTTTTTAAAAATTTTCCCCCTTTTTTAATTTTTGGGGAAAAAGGGGAAAAGGGCCCCAAAACCGGGTTAAAAAAAATTTTTTTTTTTTTTTTAAAAAAAAATTTTTTTTTTTTGGGGGGGAAAAATTTTTTTTGGGGCCCATTTTTTAAAATTTTTTTTTTTTTAAAAATTGGGGAAAAATTTTTTCCGGGTTTTAAAAAAAAATTTAAAAATTCCCCCCCTTTTTTTTAAAATTTTTTTTTTTAAAAAAAAAATTTAACCCTGGGGGGCCCAAAAGGCAAAAAAATTTAAAAAATTTTTTTTTTAAAAAAGGGGAAAAAAAAAAGGGGGGAAAGGGCCTTTTTTTTAAAAAAAAATTTTTTTTTTTTTTTTTTAAAAAAAATTTTTTTTTTAAAAAAAAACCCCCAAAAAAAAAATTTTTAAAAAAAAAAACCCTTTAAAAAAAAAAATTTTTCCAAAAAATTTTTCCAATTTTTTTTTTTTTAAAAAAAATTTTTCCCTTTTAAAAATTTTTTTTTTAAAATTTTTTTTTAAAATTTTTTTTTCCCCCCAAATTTTCCCCTTTTAAAAAAAATTTTTTTTTAAAAAAAAATTTTTTTTTTAATTTTAAAAAAATTTTTTTAAAAAAAACTGTTTTTTTTTTTTTTAAAAAAAAAAATTTAAAAAAAAGTTTAAACATTTTTTTTCCCTCCGTTTTTTTAAAAAATTTTTTTTTAAAAAAAAAAAAAAAAAAAAAAAAAAAAAAAAAAAGGAAAAAGGTTTTTTTTAAAAATTTTAAAAAAACCTTTTTTTTTTAAAAAAAAATTTTTTTAAAAAAAAAAACCTTTCCCTTTAAAAATAAAGAAAAAATTTTTTTTTTTCCCTTTTTTTTTTTTAAAAAAAAAAATTTTTTTAAAAAAAAAAAGGGTTAAAAAGGGGTTTTTTTTAAAAGCCCCCCCCTTTTTTTCCCCCTTTTTTTTTTAAAAAAAAAAATTTCCTTTTTTTTTTTAAAAAAATTTTTTTTTGGAAAAAACCTTTTTAAAAAAAAAATTTAATTTTTTAAAATTTTTAAAAAAAATTTTAAAAAAATTTTTTTTTTTTTGGGTTTTTTTTTTCCCAAACCTTTTAAAATCATTTTTTTTAAAATTTTTTTTTTTTTAAAAAAAAAAAAAGGGGAAAATTTTAAAATCTTTTAAAAAAAAAAAAAAAAAACCCTTTTTTTTTTAAAAGGGGGAAAAAAAAAAATTTTTTTTTGGGAAAAAGGGTTTCCAAAAAATTTAAAATTTTTTAAAAAAAAATTTTTTAAAAAAATTTTTTTTGGGGAAAAAATTTTCCAAAAAAAAAAAAACCCTTTTTTTGGGGGGGGGAAAAAAAGGGGGGGGAAAAAGGTTTTTTTAAAAATTTTTAAAAAAGGGTTTTGAAGTTTTTTTTTTTTTTTTTTTTTCCCAAAAAAATTTTTTTTAAAAAATTCAATTTTAAAACCCTTTAAACTTTTTTTTTAAATTTCCCAAAAAAACCCAAATTTTTTAAACCTTTAATTATTTTTAAATTTAATTAAAAAAATTTTTTTAAAAAAAAAAAAATTTTTGTTTTTTTTTTTTTTGGGAAAAAAGGGAATTTTTTAAATTTTTTTTAAAAAAAAATTTTTTTTCCCTTTAAAATTTTTTTTTTTTTCCCCAAAAAAAAAAAAATTTAAAATTTTTTAAAAAAAAATTTTTTGGATAATTTTAAAAAAATTTTTTTTTTTTTTTTTTTTCCCCCCCCCCCCCCCCCTTTTTTTTTAATTTAGTTTTTTTTTCCCCAATTTTTTTTTTTTTGGGGGGGGGGGGGGGGGGGAAAAAAAAAATTTTTTCCCCCTTTAAAAATTTGGGAAAAAAAAAAAAAATTTTAAAAAAAAAAAAATTTTTTTTTTTTTTTTAAAAAAATTTATACAGGAAGTTCCAGGCTTAAAAAAAGGTTTTTTTTTCCACAAAAAATTGTGGCTTATTATTAAGACTACCAAATTCCCACCCGGAGCATTTGGGAAAAAAGAAAAATAAAACTTTGCGCTCTTTTTCTTTTTTCTCCCTAGAGGGTTTGGGTTTACATGGCTAAAAAATGATTGGTGCATTACAAATTTGGGGGCAGAAAATTAAAGTGAAACAACAAAAAAATTTTCAAACCTTTTGATTTTTTGAAACTGAATGAAAATAAACCCTTATACTGTTCTATAGCAAAAATCAAAATTAGGTTAAATTCTTGTTTGTTTTAACACAAAATTTGGCCCGGGAAATATATATAAAATACATTTAATTTTTTATTTTACCTCCTATATCCTTTTAAAATTTCCTATACACCCTTAAAATGCAGAATTTTAAATATCAAACCCTGTTTAGTTATTCCCCCGGAAATACATACATGTTGGGTTTTTCCTTAAAAGTCAAAAAAAAATTTTTTTTAATCCTTGAATTTTAAAAGGATCCCCCGGAAAAAAAGGGCCCGAGTTTTCATTTTTTTTTGAGGGTGGGGGGTCAATGGTGACCAAACCCCAAACATAGTTTTTAATGGGGATTGTTTGAAAAAATATGTGCCTCTGGTTTGGGAAAATAAAAATGACTCTCTGTACTGTACGTTAGCTGATAAAATATTGTGTTGCTAACTCACCAAGTTGATATGATATACAGTTCCAAGAATTTAGAAGATGAGAAAAAAATCTTAACAAAATGATTAACAGATGCAGATCCCAAAAGGAGCTCTTGACTACATTGTATATCACAGCTTTTACAAAAACTGAAGAAGCGAAATATTGTTTTTTTCCAAGTTTAAATCAAATATATTTACGAAAAAAACCAAGATAATCCTTATAACAGTTCTTTTTACTTTTAATTTAAATTTTTTTACTTTTAAAAAAATTTTCATTCCCTTTACATTTTTCAAAAAATGTTTAAATTATATCTTTAAACTAGGTAAAATTTTAGGGGTAATGAGGGTGAGAGTTGGATTCCTTTTTATAAATAATAGTAAAGTTATTAAAATATAGCCAGTAAGCTGGAACTTTTTTTATTGACCTGTTTATGTATAACAATTTCCCTTTTAAATTTGGCTGTTTAAGTGTTTGCTTGACAGACAATTTAACAGAAAACGTCTTACTGTTTAAGTTCTAAAGATAATGCCAACCTTTCCAGTTTTGAGCTGAATTTGGGTCCTTTCTTTTTATCATCTTTCTTCTTCTTGCCTTTCTCCTGGTTGCTGCATTACTTATTCTTCTCTCTTTCAGATGTCGATCATAAACCAAAAAACATACATTTTTTTCACAAAACATATTTATTTCAAAATCTGATCAACAAAAATGGGTCAAAGATAGAAATGGCTGGGGGTTGCATCTGTAATACCAAATACAATGAGGCTGTGATGTTAAAAAAATTTATCCAACCATTAATGTCGCAAATTTAATTAAGTCAGTGAAAAAGGAAAGTGGATGAGTGACCAGACTGAAATTAACCCCATAGTATGAGACCACATGTTAATGCTGTATACCAAATATCAAGAGGCTGTGATAAGTAGTTGCTGAGAAAACTGTTACAAATTTTTTACTGGCCTGCCACCTGACATTCACCATACTATAACCCAGGTTTGCACCTGTGCAACCTTCTGACTATATGAGATGAAAGCTTTCAAGACTATAATTTTTTATTAATTACTTAAAATAACATAAAAACCTAAAGGGGCCAAGGTTGGGCAAAATAAAACCACACTTAACCCTTTTAAATTTCCCAAATTTTTTATTTAAATTTAAAACCTGAAAAATAACCAGTTTATTTTAAAAAAAATGCATTTTTATAAAGTTTACATTTTGAAAAAAAAATCTGATTTAATATGATAATATATCATTAACATCATCAATATTTCATCATAAAAGAGCCATTTTTAATAAGTTTCTACCTTAACTCAATAGATAACATGGAACCAAAGCTCTTAATTCAGCAACTTTTCTGTTTATCCTAAACACAGGTAAAGTTAATAATTAGAATGGCACACTTGTCAGCCTCTGTATTTGGAACTGTCCATAGATATTTTGTTTTTTTTTTGGTTGGGGTTTAAGCACCCCAAAATGGAGTGTTAAAAAATCATAAGGCACATTTCCACTTAATTTGGGAAAGGGAAAACCTTTCCCGTTTCCTTTTAATTTTGTGAATATCCTCAAGTCCTAAAACTGAGCATTATTTTTAGGGGACGGGGGGTTTCCCGGGGTTTTTTTCCTCCCTTTACTCAAAAAAAATTCCCGGAAAAATTATCAAATGTTTTTTACCAGTGTTGTTTAGACTTGAGTTTAAAATCGTAATAACCAGAACAGTTGCCATTAGTGTAGCATCTGGTTAGACTACAGTATGCAAGTTATCTTTCGTCTTCTGTTTACTGAGTAAATAAAAGCAGTCTATTTACCTGTATATAAGTTATCAGACCATAACAATAGTGTGTCAGATGAGTCCCGGACAGTTTTACAAGCTTCTCAAATCTAGCACTAAGATGTCCTGACCGGCTTGCATACAATGCCAAAAACTGGAAAAAAAACAAAATGGAAATTTGACGGTGACCATATATTTAATTTGTTATCTAATATGACTAGTCATTTTTTTATTTTTTATTTTGCTAGGCTAGATAAAAATTGCATGTTGCAAGTACACACTTTGCCTGTAGCAAATTCAACGAGACACTCTACATTTGTTTCTAATTTCAAGATTTCCTTTTTTAAGGGATAATCAAATTTTTTACTTTTTCTGGTAAAGCATCCAAAAAAAGAGAATTAAATTTGGTTTCCTTTTCCATAAACAAGTTACCCTTCCCAAAATAAAAAATAAAAAGAAAACTTTTGGCAGAGAAATAAAAAATAGCCCCCACCTGTAAAATTTGTAGGGCAAAAAACATTTAGAATTTTTAAAAAAGACATTTTTGGAAGTTAAAATATTCCCCAAAGCTTTGGCAATGGTCCCAAAAAACCTCTTGAAAGGTATTCTTCACAACGGGCTCGAAACAGACCCTATGGGAAATGCCGTTGACGAGTTCATGGAAGGTTGTTACTATGACACCAAGCCTTTGCAGATAGATTTCTCATGCCCTTCACGCTGTGTTAACTGAGGGGATTCCCCACCTGAAATATCATGTCAAGTTTTTTAAAACCAAGGCCTTTTTTTAAATACACTATAAAAGTTTGAAATTTTAGGAAAATTGATATCCTAATGACCTGATTAAATTTTTTCATATTTTTAAAGAGAAAAGGAAACAGCATTTTTAAGTAATAAAGGAAAATAACTAATGATTTTTTGAAACTGAAAATTAATTGGGCTATTTCATTTTACATATGTAAGACGTATTCTGAATATTTGGGTGTTTAGATTTGACAGATAGAAAGAAAATCTGGTGGAAAACCCTTCAAACAGTAAATACAACAAGAACTGTCGGAGGACAGTAAACGCTCGACTATTCGAAAATTTGTCACAAGGGTGTTTTCATTGAGTATAATAATGCTTACCTATATGAATACATAAATTGTCCGAAAAGGTACAAACTCTTCAAGTTTCAATACATTCCCTTCAGTAGTTATGGAGATACAAGCTTACATACAAAAACTTAACCAAGATTTTCTAAGTCGAAAAAGGGGGCATAATTATGAAATAAAACAATTCAGAGTTATGGGACTTGTTACCAATCACCTTAGATAATCACAGAGACCAAGTGTGTGAAGTTTCAATCCATTCCCTTCAGTAGTTATGGAGATACCAGCTTACACGCAAAAACTTAACCAAAAATTTCTAAGTCGAAAAAGGGGCATAATTATGTTAAAAAGCAAATCCGAGTTATGGGACTTGTGCCAATCATCTAAGATAATCAGAGAGAACAAGTGTGTGAAGTTTCAATCCATTCCCTTCAGAAGTTATGGAGATACCAGCTTACATGCAAAAACTTAACCCAGAATTTCTAAGTCAAAAAAGGGGCATAATTATGTAAAAAAGCAAATCAGAGTTATGGGACTTGTGCCAATTATCTTAGATAATCACAGAGAACAAGTGTGTGAAGTTTCAATCCATTCCCTTCAGTAGTTATGGAGATACCAGCTTACATGCAAAAACTTAACCAAGAATTTCTAAGTCGAAAAAGGGGCATAATTATGTAAAAAAGCAAATCAGAGTTATGGGACTTGTGCCAATCGTCTTAGATAATCACAGAGAACAAGTGTGTGAAGTTTCAATCAATTCCCTTCAGTAGTTATGGAGATAACAGCTTACATACAAAATCTTAACTAAGAATTTCTAAGTCGAAAAAGGGACATAATTATGAAAAAAAGCAAACCAGAGTTATGGGACTTGTGCCAATCATCTTAGATAATCACAGAGAACAAGTGTGTGAAGTTTCAATCCATTCCCTTCAGTAGTTATGGAGATACCAGCTTACATACAAAAACTTAACCAAGAATTTCTAAGTCGAAAAAGGGGCATAATTATGAAAACAAGCAATTATCATAGTATTGCAAGCAATCCATAAGTCCCCTACCGGTAAGAGCCCAAGCAACATTCTGAAGGGCCATTGCCCATTCACTTAGGTTCCTATTTTAAGTAAATTTGTTGAAAACGTTCTTTAAAAGTGATCACAGGAAACAGTTTTTATGTACAGACAGACGGACTGAAGGACACTCTAAAGTTATTTTTTAAACATCCCTGTTATCAAAATATAACATTTCTAAAATCCTATCATGATTGAAGAAGTTTGAGAAAAAATTACCAATTTCTCAAAAAAAAGTCTAAGTTCAAAAGGGGCATTATTCTGGAAATAGTCTTGCTAGAGTATTGAACACTCACAAATGTTGAGTGATAATAAGAAACATTTATATGAAGTTTGAAGTAGATACATTCAGAAAAAGAAGTTATTAAAAAAAAACAATGTTTTTTTTCATGAAAATTTTAAGTTCAAGGGAGGTAATTCTGATAAATTTTGTGCTAGAGTTGTAAACCTTGTCACATATGATGTGGTTGATGACAAGCAACTTATATTTAAAGTTTGAAGAAAATACCTTAAGAAATAAAGAATTTATAGTGAAAGAACTTAAAAACTAGAATCAGAAATCTTGAAATTCAGTCTATTTGTTGCCATAGCAACCAGAATTTTCAACAGAGGAAGAAAAGAAAAGGATGTGCATAATTTCCATACTGCCATCTACCCATATGTCAAGTTTCATAAACATATTTTCAGTACTTTTGTGTTATCACTGGATCCAGGTTATGTGTAAAATTTGCCATATTTTCAGTCTATTTGTTGCCATAGCAACCAGAATTTTCAACAGAGGAAGAAAAGAAAAAGACGTGCATAATCTCCATACTGCCATCTATCCATATATCAAGTTTCATAAAAATATTTTCAGTACTTTTTGCGTTATCGCGGGATCCAGGTTATGTGTAAAATTTGCCATATTTTCAGTCTATTTGTTGCCATAGAAACCAGAATTTTCAACAGAGGAAGAAAAGAAAAAGACGTGCATAATCTCCATACTGCCATCTATCCATATATCAAGTTTCATAAAAATATTTTCAGTACTTTTTGCGTTATTGCGGGATCCAGGTTATGTGTAAAATTTGCCATATTTTCAGTCTATTTGTTGCCATAGAAACCAGAATTTTCAATATAGGAAGAAAAGAAAAAGACGTGCATAATCTCCATACTGCCATCGATCCATATATCAAGTTTCATTAAAATATTTTCAGTACTTTTTGCGTTATCGCGGGATCCAGGTTATGTGTAAAATTTGCCATATTTTCAGTCTATTTGTTGCCATAGCAACCAGAATTTTCAACATAGGAAGAAAAGAAAAAGACGTGCATAATCTCCATACTGCCATCGATCCATATATCAAGTTTCATTAAAATATTTTCAGTACTTTTTGCGTTATCGCGGGATCCAGTTTTGTGGACGGACGGACTGACGGACGGACAGACGGACGGAGGGTAAACCTAAAGTCCCCTCCGGTAAACCGGTAGGGGACTAAAAAGCATATCAGAGTTATGGGACTTGTGCCAATCATCTTAGATAATCACAGAGAACAAGTGTGTGAAGTTTCAATCCATTCCTTCAGTAGTTATGGAGATACCAGCTTACATACAAAAACTTAACCAAGATTTTCTAAGTCGAAAAAGGGGCATAATTATGAAATAAAACAATTCAGAGTTATGGGACTTGTGCCAATCATCTTAGATAATCACAGAGAACAAGTGTGTGAAGTTTCAATCCATTCCCTTCAGTAGTTATGGAGATACCAGCTTACATACAAAAACTTAACCACAGGGACGCCGACAAATGGGTGACTGCATTAGCTCGATTATTCTGCGAATAGTCGAGCTAAAAACCCATAATGACCTCCTCTGAACAGACATACACACCATTATGTCTTAACACACCCATCCATTGTGACCTCTGAACAGAGACACACCCACCCACCATGACCTCTGAAAAGACACACCTACCACATCCACCCACCATGACCTCTGAAAAGACACACCAATCACATCCACCCACTGTGACCTCTGGACAGAGACACCCACCCACCATGACCTCTGAAAAAACACACCTACCACATCCACCCACTGTGACCTCTGAACAGACATACACACCATTATGTCTAAACACACCCATCCATTGTGACTCTGAACAGAGACACACCCACCCACCATGACCTCTGAAAAGACACACCTACCACACCCACCCACCATGACCTCTGAAAAGACACACCAATCACATCCACCCACTGTGACCTCTGGACAGAGACACCCACCCACCATGACCTCTGAAAAAACACACCTACCACATCCACCCACTGTGACCTATGAACAGAGACACACCTACCACATCCACCCACTGTGACCTCTGAACAGACACACCTACCACATCCACCCACTGTGACCTCTGAAAAGACACACCTACCATATCTACCCACTGTGACCTCTGAACAGACACACCTACCACTATATCTAACCACACCCCATCCACCATAACGCTTACCTGTGCAGGTAGAAATATCTGCAGTAGCATCAGCACGAACTCTGGTCACCACCCAGTCAGTGTTGTCTAGTTCCCTTTCACAATGGTTAAGCACTAACTGTAGTACAGTAGGGGCTGCTGCTCGCAGTGTCACAATGGCAAAGTTTGTACGATCGTCAAGCTCAATCTCCTGTGTAATAAAATAAATTTATACATTTTCATACTTCAAACAAGGGTGCCATAGTCACAAAATACGCCCGTTTACGAAAAAGCTTTAGATGGAGATGGGGGCATTATGGATAAGTGTTATCTAGCAAGCAAGTTTTTATTCTTGGCACTGTGTTGTTAAATGAACCTTAAAACAAATCAATAGGGAAGATATGCACAGAATGTGTGACCTTGACCTTGGTCACAGGGACCTGAATTTTATGCACGGCACTCAGCCTCACAATGATGAACATTTGTGCCAAATTATATTGAAATCCCTCTATGCATGTAGAAGTTTTGCTCCAGACAAGTGTTTTTCTATGAGCTCTAACTGTGACCTTCACCTTTGACCTAGAGACTTGGTTTATGTGCAGGGCACTACGTCTCATGGTGGTGAACAATTCTATAAAAGTAACATTAAAATTCCTCCATGCATGTAGAAAATATGCTCCGGACAACATCTGGATATTTAATCATCTCCAGTGACCTTGACCTTGCAAATATTAACCTAAATTAAATGTGTAACACCTGTAGTCATGATAGTTACCATTTGTGCTACAATCCATCAATAACTGATGACTAAATGGTCCCTATAACCATCTTCAAATTTTTATCTGAACTTTGACCTCTATGTGTAACCTTGGTGGTTCCAATATTCCTACTTGAATAATGTTGAATCACCCTTAGGATATGTTGCCTGCTTTTTAAATTTGTCTTTTGACGTCTTATCTGTGATACGCAGGCTTCATAACCTCTGATCCCCTTTCAAAATTCCATTTTGTTAAGTTCCGCCCATTGTTTTCTCGTTTAGGGCACACGCTTCTATTTACTTGAGGACCATACGCCACTTTTCATGGAATTTGGCACAGAAGTGTCACATTGAAGGTGCCATGATAACTGCCGTATGAACACAGCGGTGTATGCTTCTAAATTCAAAATTATACCATTTCATGTTTAAATGTTGAATTCTGCTTTAGCCGATGCTAGGGGGCGTGGATGGTAGTTTGCTCTTGACAGTACCATCCATGAACATCCTCAAGCAAGCAGAGCCTGCAAAGTTTTCAATTTTGCGTTTTGGGCTTTCTTTAGGGATTCTTTATTTACTATTTTATGATCACATCCGTGTTATTTGTGCCGTGTGGCGGCTGTAAAAAGTCGCCCCGTACATTTAATCAATGATGTTATATTTTCGATCCTTGAAGATCGTTCAGCACGACATTATTGTTGTGCTTGTGGTATTTTTAGTTTTAACTTTACGGCATTTTCTAGTTGGGTGGTTCCAATATTCCTACTTGAATAATGTTGAATCACCCTTAGGATATGTTGCCTGCTTTTTAAATTTGTCTTTTGACGTCTTATCTGTGATACGCAGGCTTCATAACCTCTGATCCCCTTTCAAAATTCTATTTATTTAGTTCCGCCCATTGTTTTCTCGTTTAGGGCACACGCTTTTTATTACTTGGGGACCATACGCCGCTTTTCATGGAATGGCACGGAAGTGTCACATTGAAGGTTCCATGATAACCGCCGTATGAACACATCTGCGGATGTTTCTAAATTCAAAATTCTACCATTTCATGTTTAAATGTTGAATTCTGCTTAAGCCGGTGCTAGGGGGCGTGGACGGTAACTTGCACTTTCCAGTACCGTCCATGAGGCCATCCTTAAAAAAATGTTTGTTTGCAGTAACCCGACCCAGAATTTTCAAGGTGGGTAGGTAGGTCGATTTTTTTTTTTTTATTGAACTGTACTCCCAAATAAACATGGAATTTCAAAATGCTGGACAATATAATTGCTTTGATAATCTGGTAACAATTAATAAATTGATAATTGAATTCTAATTTAATAAGACCTGCAATTTATTTCTTCTATTAACCTTTAAAAGAACGAAAACAAAGCACAAGGCATAATTTTCTGATTCAAAAAAAAAATTTTTTTCTTCCAGACCATGAAAAAAAACTTTTGAGTAGGGGCAAATTTTGTGAGTCGGTCGCGTTACTGCGAACAAACATTTTTTTAAGGATGGCCTGAACAGGCTCAATCAAACCGAGCCTGCAACATTTTCAATTTTGCCGTTTTGGGCTTTCTTTAGGGATTCTTTATTTACTATTTTTTGGTCGCAGGGATCTGAATTTTGCATGCGACACTCAGCCTCACAATGGTGAACATTTGTGCCAAGTTATATTGAAAACCCCCTATGTGTGACCTTGACCTTTTACCTAGAGACCTGGTTCATGTGCGCGACACTGCTCCTCATAGTGGTGAACATTTATATGAAGTTTCATTAAAATCCCTCCATACATGTAGGAGATATGCTCCGGACAAAATTGGACGCCGCCCGCTGCCAGGGGCGTTCCCATAATACGTCCCGTTTTTCAAACGGGCGTATAAAAAACTAAAGCTATGCTTATTGCTATGATAATATAACAAGAATCTGAAGAATAGTTCCTCTGTACTTCCCATTCTTTTCTTTTGCAGTAGTCTCAATGTAAACAAATCATTTAGATATATGATGAAGCAATGCAATTTTTAATCTATTACCAAACACTTGTTTCGTACCTCAACCCTACATTTTAAGGGATGAAGATATCCAATATAGCATACAAATATTTAATAGTACCTGATCAATATCTCCTATTTGTGCATGTATGTCCTGGGCGAGATCTCGCAGAAGTATAGGGGATGTCTTCCACTTGTGTCCCATGTTGAGAAGATACGTTAACATGGACTTACATAATGACAGGTCATCTATAATATATAAATACAATAATAAATTTATATAACACATAATGTCAGTTGTGACAATTAAATATTTCTTTAAAATGCACAGGTTTAACATTAACATCACAGCATCATCAACCCCACATATTGTCAATTTTGTTTGTTCCCTCTTTCTGGTTTTACACCGATTTTAACACATTTTTGGTCATATCTTGGTGGTCAATCAACCAAAACGACATATCTGGAAAACTAACCAGTAATTACAAATTTCACTGCCAGTGACAAACCAAATAATCTCACATGAATTCTGTATCAGCAGTGAGAGTCAAATGACAACAAGACACTTTGTCCTTGATATATAGTCAACAAGTTATGTCAAATTGCATAAAATAAAAATGCACAAACTGGGGAATTAAATCAAAAGCCTTGACCGACATGGAGCATTCTTTAAATGTATAGTAAAGTTAGATATTGACTTTCTGTTGATGCATAACCATATTAATTTGAATGACATTGTGAATTTGGACAGCTCTTAATTATTTATCATAAATACATACAAACACTGTATACATATTCCTACCAATGTTTTGTTCCCGGCAAAGTTTTTCAAGCCATGACATTATATGTTCACAACTTGAGAATCTAGAAGACAGAGATTGACTCAGATGGTAGATGATATTCAATAATAAACCAACATCTTTCATATTCTGATGGTCCTCTTCAGCACTGAATATATTCATTACTAGCCTCTGAAATACCAAATAAAAATCAATTAACTGTTACACTACAGGCAAATATTTTTTATATTGTATTTTCAAGTCACATTAACACTATGGCAACTTTCCAGATTTACTATCAGAGAAGGAAACCCAGTGTTCCTGAGTGCAAAATTTATGACATGATTGGCACATGAGATAAGCCATTAAAGTTTTCTTTAAAGTTTTCTTATGCAAATCATAAAACAGTTGGTAGTGTCGAAAAATATGATGCATTTTCTTCAGATTTTTTTTTTAACACATACCTGAAGTTTCTTTATATAATGATAAACATGTTCATCTGTGTTCCCATTCTCTTCCCTTTCACCTATAAGACACAAACATACATAAATATGCTGCCTACTTTATTTACATCAAACATAATGGAAATATGAGCCGCGTCATGACAAAACCAACATAATGCGTTTGCGACCAGCATGGATCCAACCAGCCTGCACATTCGCACAGTCTGATCAGGATCCATGCTGTCCGCTATCAGTTTCTCTACTTGTAATAGGGTTGGTAAGCGAACAGCATGGATCCTGATCAGACTGCGTGAATGCTAAGGCTGGTCTGGATTCATGCTGGCCGCAAACGCACTATGATGGTTTTGTCGTGACGCGGCTCATATGTTATCTTTTTATACCTTTACAATCATCATGATGCCCTCATATTAAGAAGGTTTTCACTTATTGGGGACATGACACTATCATGGGACAAAGACAATGGCTAATAGTCAGTGACTCACCCTAGTAACTGAGTGAAAATCCATCTTCAAGATGGGTTACATTCACAGAGACAAAGATTATGATGCTTTCCTAAATGCTTTAGTAGCAAATTAGTTATTAGTACTTCAAATTATATATTTTTACACCAATATGTATATATGTTAGATATTAAATTAAGAGCCAGTCACTTACAGCATTAAAGTCATATACAAACCAGCCAGAAACTTATACAATTAGAATTCTTGGATTCTGCACCAGTTCTTATCTATCTTCAAACACCGGTAAATAAATTTTCACAACGATTGCAAAACCTACTAAAGAGATATAAAAGCTTCTATTTCCCAATTTCTGAGCTAACACAGTGTGTATGAAAAGTGTTAAAGGTGGCAAATAAATAATACTCTACAAATTACCTATACTGGACAGAAACTTGTCAAGTTCACTGGAGAACTGCTGGGTTACAATGGTAACTATGCAGCACAAACATTCTAATGTCAAGGTCAGTATATGTTTCTCTGTCACCCTCTGAGTGCCTTCTCCTTTCTGATGTTCCTTATAATACTTTAACAACAGTCTGTAACAAATTAATACAATTTCAATAGTTTTCTTTTCCGATTTAAATTAGTTGGTTGTGTTTTACGTCACACTAACACAGTACAGGTCATATGGCAACTTTCCAGCTGTACTGGTTGAGGAAGACCTCAGGAGCCCTTCCATACATCATTTCAGGCACAAAAAGGCACCGAGTAGAACGACCTACATTCGGTAAGATAGCTAAGATAGCTTTCTCACTGTCAGGACTGGAACCCACAGCTGTGAGGGGCAAGTAGTTTGAAGTCAACGACATTAACCACTCAGCCACTGAGGTCCCAAAAAACTTGAGTTAACAATTTGAAAAAACTAAAACTTACCCTGCTAATTCACAACAGTAATCAAATATCTTAGATTTCTGTTTGCCTTCTGACCCGTCACATTGACCTTTGTCCTGTATTTGGAGCAGTTTCTGCTGGGTCACTGTCAGGATGTACTTGAAGAAGTCGGTATTTTGAACCAGAGCATCAACTAGATCACTGTCAAATTGGTCATCTCCACTATATTTAGATATATAATTTTTTTTTTTTTATAAACTCCATATTTAGATAAAGATAAAATCTACAAAACTATTCTCTCCTCTTAATAGAAGATGCCTAAGAAACAGTTGTTGATTTTATTTTATAAATCAAGTCATAAAGCATTTTACTTCAGCAAAAATTATATGACATAAAGTACAAGTAAATAAATATGGTCTTGAAAAACGAAACAACAAAAGAGTACATATGTCAGGGAGACAACTTACCTCATCACTGAACATTCCTTTAACTCTGCTCATCATTGAGCATATTTCTTTATCAGTAAGTTTAGGCTATAGCATTTTGCTTAATAAATAACAAATTTCTGTGATTCAATTAAGTTTTGGGAGAAAAAAAAACTTTACAGACTAAAGGGGAACAATTTCACTCAAGCTTACAATTAAAATCAGGGTACTCAGTTTAATATAAATGATTCGATAATGTCCGGATTTCCAAGATATAATGTCCTAACAAAAGTATGTAAGAATACCTTTAACTACAAAATGACTTTTCTATTCATTCTACTGTGTTGCAAATTTACTAACTGGTACACCAAAACAAATCAACTTAATTCTTTATAAATAGCACGCAATTTAAATGGAATTGATAATTAAACAAACAAATTCGTTGAATTTATATCCCCCGCCGAGTACTGGTTATTATTAACACAACAACTGAAGTCATAAGGCTTTATTTATTTATTAATCATGGCTTAAACAGTAATATTCTTTGAACTTGATAAATATTCAGGGCAATAACAGAGCCATAACTTTGTGTTAAATAGTAAAATCTGGAAATGCCAATGAGATGTATGCATACTACATAACTAATCAAGGGCCATAAATCTGAGTTATAAATATCTGACCGGAACAAGGCGACTGTATGCACATCTCCTCTTAGTATCCCATAAAGTTTCATTGAATTCCAGCCAGTAGTAGCAGAGAAGTGAGCGAGGAAACAAATATTTTTCAATATGGATACTGCCTATCTAATCAAGGGCCATAACTCTGAGTTAAAGTGTCTGACCGGAATAAGCCGACGATATGCACATCTCCTTTTGGTATTGAAGGTTCCCATAAAGTTTCGTTGAATTCCAGCCAGTAGTTGCAGAGAAGTAGCGCGGAAACGATTTTTACTCCATATGCATACTGCATAACTAATCAAGGGCCATAACTCTGAGTTAAAGTGTCTGACCGGAACAAGCCGACGATATGCGCATCTCCTCTTGGTATTGAAGGTTCCCATAAAGTTTCGTTGAATTCCAGCCAGTAGTTGCAGAGAAGTAGTGCGGAAACGATTTTTACTCTATAATCATACTACATAACTCATCAAGGGCCATTACTCTGAGTTAAAGGGATTGACCGGAACAAGCTGACGATATGCGCATCTCCTCTTGATATTGATGATTCCCATAAAGTTTCGTTGAATTCCAGCCAGTAGTTGCAGAGAACTACTCCGGAAACGATTTTTACTCCATATGCATATTGCATAACTAATGAACGGCCATAACTCTGAGTTAAAGTGTCTGACCAGAACAAGCCGACGATATGCGCATCTCCTTTTGGTATTGAAGGTTCCCATAAAGTTTCGTTGAATTCCAGCCAGTAGTTGCAGAGAAGTAGCGCGGAAACGATTTTTACTCCATATGCATACTGCATAACTAATCAAGGGCCATTACTCTGAGTTAAAGTGTCTGACCGGAACAAGCCGATGATATGCGCATTTCCTCTTGGTATTGATGATTCCCATAAAGTTTCATTGAATTCCAGCCAGTAGTTGCAGAGAGGTAGTGCGGAAACGATTTTTACTCTATATGCATACTACATAACTAATCAAGGGCCATAACTCTAGAGTTAAAGGGTCAGACCCGAACAAGCCGACGATATGCGCATCTCCTCTTGATATTGATGATTCCCATAAAGTTTCGTTGAATTCCAGCCAGTAGTTGCAGAGAACTACTCCGGAAACGAAATTCGGACGGATGGACAACGCCAAAACTATATCCCCCTCCCGATTCCATCGGCGGGGGATAATTAAACTATAGGTAAAGTTACCAGATTTGAATCCACATTTAACTGATAAGCTGCTTAAACAACTCTGCCATGAACAGTATTAAACTATTTGAATATACTCACCTGATCATAAAGTCCATCACTCTCGTAACAAACTTAATGGAAAATAGGCTGATAGGAGGCTTGGCCTGAGTTTTACCCTTTTTACCGGCAGCTGCCCCAGCCTTCTCTCGTATGACATCACTTAATTTCTTGTGATTCTCAAACAGCTGTGTCATCTGACGCACTTTAGATTCACTGGAAATAAAGAATTTGTTAAGTTTATTTACTTTAAACATATTGTTTTGGACTGATTGTGACAATCAATGGCTTGTCACTTAAGTTTGTTTGTTTGTTTCATTTTACGCCTTTTCCCAACAGTATTTAAGTCATATAGGCGGGTAGTTTCCTAACCATCGTTCCTGGAGAGTTACACCAGTTCTAGACTACCTTCCTCCGCGCTAAACTACCAAAGCATCTCTTGGGGAGCGAACCCACGCCAGAGAGGTAACTGGATTAGAAGTTATCGACTCTAACTCGTCGACGATGGAAGCCGTTAAGTATTTCATGTATGCTGTATATATGTATAATAACAAGGATCTGTTATGTTCAAGTCATATTGTATAATAAAGTCTGTTCTGTCATTATGTGAACGGCTCAAAGTTCTCTTCTTGGAGCTTAAACACTACTGAAGCCATAAAAGGAAACATGTTTGTCACTTCTGGCCAAATTTAGGGCTAAAACTTACCATCCCTTGATTGAGAGGCAGTAATTTTAACTTTACTCACTATGGCAACTCTGACTCACTTAATCCTTACCAGGCTTAGTATAAATCAGATTGCCGAGTGTTTTGATGTTCTTTCTCTTTTGTATCATATGCAAAAAAAAACAAACTTCTATCGTCACAATATGAAAACCCATAGACTACTGATTTGAAATTTATGATATAGCCCCAAGATCTTTTTTCTCTCTCTCCTCTTTATGTAGGAAAACATTTCTTTTTAAACGGTCATAATCTTACAATTATTATCAACTAAGAAAATCTTAATGTTAAAAAAATTACGAAAATTTCATACCTAATAGTGTCTTTCATAAATGTATACTCTATGAGAGCCTCATGAGTTCCTAGCACTAATATAGCAAAAATGTTGTTCCTAACTCCAACACTGTTTGCGAGCGAGTAATCTGCCGATTTGTCCTGGAATTACATATGTAATAAACATAATGATTATATAATAAAATACTATCAAGATAGGATAAGTAAGAAGAAAATTACACGTCAAAATATTATGTTTGCATCAAATTGCCAGCCTGTCAATCGGTAAATGTAGCTTTTAATTCATATATTTTTGTTATATATATTATGAAAAATTTCATCAATGAATTTCACCTGAGAAGCATGACAGCTGAGATTATCATGAAATTATCCAAATGCCATTATAAGAAATGATGACCTTCACCTCTAAAATCTTACCTCCATTTTTGGTCAGATGACATTTAAGTAACTATGATAACAAAACAGAATGTACATGACTCTATTCCTTAAAATCTAAGACATTGAAGTATAAGACAAAAATATAAGTCTTTTTTTCCAAAATATCATTATCACAACTTAGAATTACAATAAGTTAAAGTAAATTTTGAAGGTAATTTTAAGAAAATCCGAGGGTCAAATCCAGGTATTATTATCATAAGATTCATTTTTTAATTTATGGTTGAGTGAACACTATAACCTCTGACAACTGTATCATAGAATGGTTTCTTTGGCTCAGTGGTTTAGAGCTTTGTTTCTTTGTTTGCAAGTTGATAATCACTGGTTCGAATACAAGCCATATAAGGAATTTTTTTTGTATGTAACAAACTAACAACTTGTTAGATCAGTAAAATTCACACATAATGATATTACTTATAACTATATAATTATTACTTATTAATTATTACTTACCGATTATAACGATGCTGTTGCCATGGTCCCTCTACACTTTTTATAAATTGACTGCCTCTTGGATATAACAATATCCAGATTTAACACTTAAGAATTGGCAGTTCCCTGAATATCGTTAAAAGCAGACTTTAGACTGTAGTAAAATATATGACCCTGGATTAGACCCTGAGGCTTATAACAGGAGAATGTCATTTGAAGTAACAATAATAACAACATAAAGTAACAATAATAACAACATAGATAAAGTAACGACAATAACAACATAAATAATCACCAGTTCAAAGTCCTCCATTTCTGATGTAATCATCCTATCGGTGAGAGATTTCATGATCTCTTCTAACTCTGATTGAACGACTGAATCATCATCGTCATCATCATTGCTTGCCTGCTGTTTCTTCCTAAACTCATCACTTTTAATCAAACATAGCTGTATACAGCATAGAAGATGGGCCTGAAATAATATTTCATCTCAAGTTTTGTATCACTACACAATCTTTCCTACTGACAATTGAACAAAAAAAATCTTGTCTATAAGACAAGGTGCCCCACCTATCCAAAGTCAAGACCAAATAGCTCCACTTTTCAAAAATAATGATTTGAAATAAATATCTTTCTCTGTGTTCAAGACTTGGACCTTAATATTAAACTTGCCTGACACAAAAATTCTATGTCAAAAATGAGGGAAATCTGTTTTTATAACAAATTTATCAATTATTTCCCCTGTTGAGATAGGTAATTATTTTAAGAGTATTAAAAATATTTTAAGGGTCAAAAGGAACATATTTGAATGTTTTTGAGAAAAAGAACTTAAAATGAATGCAGATATTTATAAAAAAAACTTTCATTTAAAAAACAAATATTTAAATTGTTCATCCTGACAGGTTATCAAACCACACAGGTGAAATCATTTTTCTCCCTCTCTCTCTACCTCTCTGTCTCTCAAATCATCAAATTATAAGATCCTAAAACACAACTTACAAGAGGTTCAGCAAGAAATACTTGGTCTCCCTGAGCAAGTATACATGGCTCTAACTTCAGAGGTGGATTCATTTCCTCATTCTTCTCATAATAACCTTTTAACTGTGACATCAACATTGATAAAATTGGGTCACATAACTGACTGTTCCTGTCCAATACATCAACAAGTCCCTGAAATATTAATGCAGCAAATGTAAAGTTTTTTAAATAAAGAATGAAATTTAAAAATTACAACTTGAATTAAGAAATCTTTTAGAGAATCCCTAATCTTTTTTAGGAGCATTAAATGAAAGTTTTCAATTTCTGAGCTGGTTATTTCAAATATATTTAAAATAAGACAAACTAGTCAATTCTCAGGTCAAGGGAAAAAGCCGCTACAGATATTTTCTACAGATACTTGTAACTTGCAATTATATTTAACAAACTGCAGAACATTTAATAAAGCATCAAACCAAGATAACAAACATTAAAAATAGATCAGTCACAAAGACTGAACATTGTGTGAGAGTAAAATAACAGCTTATGGGTTTTACGTCATACCAACACAGTATAGGTCAAATTAATGGGCGACTTTCCAGTTTTACTGGTGGAGCAAGACATCAGGTTCCCCTTAGTGCAATATTTTAGGCACAAATGGGTACCTCAGTAGAACCACCGTTCTGTAAGCTAAAGTGAGGCAATCAAAGATAATAAAGTCTCAAGAACAGTTCTTTTTGTTTAGTTTTACAGAACACATTAAAGTTCATGACGTCAGGATGTGCAAGCTGACCTAGCTCTATAATTGTGTCAAAGGCTAGTCAGTTTTGGTACCAGCATTGGACGAGTTTGTAGTAAATTACCTGATAAAGCAGTAGTCTAACATCAGCTTGTTGAGATAAACATCTCCTCAAGTTACCTAGTATCTCTAGACATAGAGCTTCATTACTGGAGGCATTGTGACGTACATGTATATCTACCTCTACCTGTAATAGTTACAAATATACATAATATACATAAATGTACAGCCAATAATCTCTACATTCGTCTGTGTCTGGTGGCGGTTTCTGCAATTCATCTCCAGATCACGGTTGTAAGCCACTTTGAATTTACCACAGTACAGTTTAGCCGCCACATTGTCTAGAGTATTTTATTAGTTATAAAGATGTCTGACTAGTTATATGACTCAACAGGTTATATGACTCAACAGGTTATGTGGCTTGAAAGGTTATATGGCTTGACAGGTTATATGTCCCGGTATAAGAAGTTGTAAGATTATATAACCTGAGCTGCTGAGCAAGAGTTATATTGTAAACAACCATTTATATACAGCCATATAATATGTCAAACATCTTTATAACAAATTTGAAAAGAGGGCCATGATGGCCCTGAGGTCGCTCACCTGTATATAGGCCCCCACCCCCCCCAACGTTGCAAGGCCAATTTAACCCAAGGGCTTTTATTTGCACAATCTTGGTAGACACCCATAAGAAGATGTTTCATGCTAAACATCTAAGCTCTAGCTCATTGGGCTTTTTAAAAAGAAGATTTTTTTAAAGTTTTTACTATACACATATAGTTAAAAAACAATGACACCCCTGGGGCCAGCTGGCCAGTTTTGACCCCAGGGCTTTTATTTGAACAAACTTTGTAGACACTTACTAGAAGATGTTTCATGCTTAATATCTAACCTCTAGCTATTTGGGTTTTTTCAAAGAAGATTTTTAGTTTTTGCTATACACATATAAAGAAAATCAATGACCCCCGGGGCGGGGCCAATTTTGACCCCAGGTCTTTTATTTGAACAAACTTTGTAGACACTCACTAAAAGATGTTTCATGCTTAATATCTTAACTCTAGCTATTTGGGTTTTTTCAAAGAAGATTTTTTAAGTTTTTGCTATACACATATAAGGAAAATCAATGACCCCCGGGGCGGTGCCAATTTTGACCCCAGGGCTTTTATTTGAACAAACTTGGTAGACACCCATTAGAACATGTTTGATGCTAAATATCTTAGCCATAGCTCTTTGATTTCTTTAAAAGAAGATTTTTTAAGTTTTTACTATATGCATATAGGGAAAATCAATGACCCCCCGGGGCGGGGCCAATTTTAACCCCAGGGCTTTTATTTGAACAAACTTGGTAGACACCTATTAGAACATGTTTTATGCTAAATATCTTAGCTCTAACTCTTTTGGATCTTTAAAAGAAGATTTTTTAAGTTTTTACTATATGCATATAGGGAAAATCAATGACCCACTGGGGCGGGGCCAATTTTGACCCCAGGGCTTTTATTTGAACAAACTTGGTAGACACCTATTAGAACATGTTTGATGCTAAATATCTTAGCCATAGCTCTTTGATTTCTTTAAAAGAAGATTTTTTAAGTTTTTACTATATGCATATAGGGAAAATCAATGACCCCCCGGGGCGGGGCCAATTTTAACCCCAGGGCTTTTATTTGAACAAACTTGGTAGACACTTATTAGAACATGTTTTATGCTAAATATCTTAGCTCTAACTCTTTTGGATCTTTAAGAGAAGATTTTTTAAGTTTTTACTATATGCATATAGGGAAAATCAATGACCCCCTGGGGCGGGGCCAATTTTGACCCCAGGGCTTTTATTTGAACAAACTTGGTAGACACCTATTAGAACATGTTTGATGCTCAATATCTTAGCCATAGCTCTTTGAGTTCTTTAAAAAAAAGATTTTTTAAGTTTTTAATATATATGCATATAGGGAAAATCTATGACCCCCTGGGGCGGGGTCAATTTTGACCCCAGGGCTTTTATTTGAACAAAATTGGTAGACACTCACTAGAAGATGTTTCATGCCAAATATCTAAGCTCTACCTCTTATGGTTTTTGAAAAGAAGATATTTAAAGTTTTTCTTTCGGTTGCCATGGCAATTCTGCATGGAATTAAATTCTTTGAACAATTTTTAAAGGTGACCACCAAAGGAACATTCCTGTGAAGTTTGGATGAAATTGGCTTAGTGGTTTATGAGGAGATGCCATTTAAAGTAAAAGTTTACGGATGGACGACGGACGGACGACGGACGGACGCCGGACGAAAAGCGATCACAAAAGCTCACCCTGTCACTTTGTGACAGGTGAGCTAAAAATAGCAGAAATACTTTATTTCAGGAATAACCAATATTTTTTTCATAAATTGTCAGCAGCTGTGTAAACGGATTACATAAATGTCATAATTATCTGATGAAAAGCGATGTTAAAAACATGCAGAATTATAAATAAATTAATACACTTGTTACTGCAAATAGTGTCATGATTTCAACTGATTATGTGTGTTACAAGATTGATTATAAGTTTGCAACTAGAGGCAGTGCACTGACGGTCTGACCTCTTAATATAACATCAAGCTTAGTATGAAATAAATAGGGAGAAGGCGAGGATGTGGGAGAAAATAGTGGGTATTTCTGTCACAACATTTGATACTTTTTAAGGTTATATGATAACATTTAAGTTACATTGATGTAAGAAAACCTATGGTGTCCTCCGAGCTGTGAAAAACTTCTGACCTTTTGATATTAACACTTATAATGTAAAATACCATTAATAGACTTGTTTCATCTGGTACAGTCCAAAAAATTAGCCGTGAAAAAGTTATTTAACATGCTATATTTATCATTGTAAAATGTAAACTATCAGATTAATGATGGAAAAACATGAAATAGGTTTCGTTATAGATCTTATAATTAGAACTAGTCATGGGTCGAAATTTTGTCATGGAATTGATAGCAATTCATGAATTGAAGTCCCGATGTGTCGAAGTTTTTACGCAAGTCCCTTCAACTTCGACTTAACGAAGTTCTACTGTAATCTGTTAGCATTAACTTACCTGACTACATGAGAATGAAGGTTGACTACACTGACTAGATCTTATACCTCCTAGAACTCTAAAATGTTTCAGTATCATCATAAATCCACTAGCTCCAATCTTTCTCGCATCAAGCTGTCTGAAATAGTTAACCAACTTCATTATAAATCTTTTTGTCATCAAGTTTGGGAGTCTCTCATAGCAAACCAACCTCTTTTATAAATTCAAGATTCATATCAATTCTGTTTAACTAATGGTGTTTCTTATTGAAAATGTTTCTGTTTTTATTTTTTACACCCATTTTAAAGACACATTGTGCCACAGAAATCAATATTTTTTAAATTCTTTAGAAAGGTCATGTTTGATAAATTTTGACAATGAATTTAGAGCATCTTACATATTAAACAACTGCAGAAATTAGCGTTGAATGTGCAGTTACTTGTTGTAAAGGTAGCAAAATGTAAACAAAGTAGTATTTTGACTTCTATACAAAATATTAACTCTCTATAACAATATAATATTGTCAAAAAGCCAAAGAAACGAAAGATAGTTTATCAATATGGCCAATAAGTATTTTTTTTTAAACTGTAATAAGATACCAAAAATAAAATTGTTTTCAGAAATATAAAATGATATCATTTCAGGGGCTTATTGGGGCTTTAACATATTTTTGGGCATAGCTTTGTGGTTGGTCCTAGCCTAGCTAGCACATGAGTAAAATCTCAAACCTTTCAGTAAGATAAAGATGTATGTATGAAGTAAGTGCCCCCTAATAGGATTTAATACAACAACAGCACTGCATAGCAATTCTATTTGAAATGTTCTTTTATCCGGAACTAACTTCATATCAAAAGTTTACCTTGAGAACATGGCTTTTCTAAGAACCAAGATGAGAGAATCTTTGAGATTCATACTCAGTTTAAGAAGTGGCTGTATGGCTCTCAGTAAACCCTCGGCTGAGGTGGGACACAGAAAGGAGAGGTAGTCGAACATTTCCCGAACTTTGGTTGTAGAGTCCAACAACAGTTGTGGCGAGGCAAACACAATATCTCCTAGTAATTCTGTAATATAAGAATATCACATTAGCCTATTAAACTATGTCTTTAGTTCTCTATAAACATCCTACTCAATTTACATTTTTAACAAGAGCACAGCATTCGGTGTTGATACATGTTCGTTAAAACAATCACTTTTGTTTGAAAGGGGCATAACTCCAATAATATAGCTTTCAGAATTATCCCCCTTGTCTGACAACTGCACCTTGTCATGATGAGAAAGCATTCAGATTTCATGTTGATATCTTTTGAACTATTTAAACTATGGGCTACATTTAAAGTTTTTGCATTATTCTGTTCAAGTGTTACTGGGGTCAGAACAATGTTTCTTCAAATGTCACCAGTACTGATTAAATCTTGACAGGGGACACAGTAAGATTCAGATAGCTTTCATAACAATTAAGCTAATATAATAGATTATGTTTGATTTGACTGAAATACAATAAAATGTTTGAATATTTCATGTTCTACCTAGCATACAGTTCTTACAATGACAAACAAGAGGGCCATGATGGCCCTAAAATTGCTCACCTGTATATAGAAACTCTCCATGACAAGGAACAAGTAATATTGTTTCATGCTAAAAATCTAAGCTCTACCTCTTTGGGTTTTTTAAAACAAGATTTTTCAAGTTTTTACTATATACATATATGGAAAAACAATGACCCCCTGGGGCGGGGCCAATTTTGACCCCAGAGCTTTTATTTGAGCAAACTTTGTAGAGACTTACTAGAAGATGTTTCATACCAAATATCTAAGCTATAGCTCTTTGGTATTTTTAAAAGCAGAAATTTTAAGTTTTTTCTTTTGGTTGCCATGGTAACCAGAGTTCTGCAAGGAATGAAATTCTTTGAAAATTTTTTAAAGGTGACCACCAAAGGAACATTCCCGTTTGGATGAAATTGGCTTAGCGGTTTCTGAGGAGACGTTTAAAGTAAAAGTTTGAGGACGCCGGACGAAAAGCGATCACAAAAGCTCATCATGTCACTTTATGACAGGTATTCAACATTTACTTAACTTAAGTAACTGACAGTTTCAGGTATAAATAGAAAATGGTTACCTAGGAAATGAGAGACGGGAGATGTAGCTTTAGTTATTACTCTATTGAAGATTTGTTCTAATATTTCACTTCTCACCATCTCATGGGCCTGAAACAAAACAACATTATACAACAAGAGTTGTTAGTCAGACAGCCATAATTCTGTCAAAATCCATGCCAGAGTTATGGACCTTGGACCTCCTATTATGTTATAATATAAATGTGTGATGTTTCAAGCCATTCCATTCTTCAGTTTTGGAGATACCAACTTGCACACAAAAACTTAACTGAAGTGTGACACTGAGGCCACAGTGGGTACAACAGCTCTCCTTATTTCTTAAATATTCAAATCAAAATAAAATCAATCATATTTAAAGAAATCTGCCTAACAAAGGATCACACAGATAGGGTACCATAGATGCAATAGCTATATTCTCTGCCTACACTTCAATCACCAAGAAAGGAAACAAAATGTAAAATTGGAAATGCTTAACTTCAGTATTATTAATCTTCCATAAGTTGTGTAGTCTATCCCATAAACAGGATATGGATATGCAACTATGTTTTCACAGAACTTTCTAAGAACATACTGTGGAATCTTATAAAATCGTATAAAATAAAGCAGTCAGTAAGCTAATAAAGAATAGATCTCTTAATCCAGGAATGGCTGGTATACTTATATGATCCCCACATTGTTTGTCCAAGAATAATTGATTGATTTATTGGGTTTTTAGTAAATGTAAATCTGACAACTTTTCAGCTATACTGGTGGAGAAAGGCCTCAGGTACCACTCTGTGCATTACTTAAGGCAGGAATGGACCACTGACATTCTGTAAGCTAATAATAAAGCTTTCTTACATTAAAGTAATCCGGATCTGTTGTGGAATTTCAACCCACAGCAGAATAAATACACATAACACTTTCATTATAGTCAGTCTAAAAATGTATTTTTAAATCATAAAGTAATTACGTAATTTAAACTGGTAGATCTAACATAAAACCTTGAATGTTTTCAACAATATCTTTGCTCCAAGCTGGCATGTCTGATGTGTAGGTCCTGACTGTATACTGGGCAGTAGGTCCATACGTCCAAATGCTGCTTTAGGTCCAAATGAATCCATCAGTATAAATCCTAGCTGGACAAGACCTTGGACAACATGATCCCAGCCATATGAACTAGAATAGAAATTTTGTTGTCAATAAATTTAATGGTAAGGCTACATATAGAAATTATTAAGTTTACAATTATGTGACAAAACTCATTATTTATGTTAGAAATGAATAAAATTTGTTAAATATTACATTAGTATATACAGACCCTCTCCCCCTTTTTCTCCTTTTTTTCTTAAAGGAATTTCCTAGGGAAAAACAATACTTGAATCTAGTACAAACATAAGCTGTCAATATAGCATTATTCAACATTTTCAGGTACATTATTTTCACTCTTGAATGACAAGTGGCCATCAAAAATGTTCTCACATTTTTAGCACTGACATTTATAATAAAAACCTATACTAATGGTACACTGTCAGGCCAGACAAAACATTACTTCAGTAAATAAATTCACTACACTATTACTAAAATCATTACGCAAAATTCAGGACAGGTAAATGACACTGAACAAAAAATTGGCAGTAAAAATATAAGTCAGACACCAACCTGTTATTGACAGTTTGTAATACATAATCTTCTACAGAGACCATATCTGAGACAATCTCCTGTATCCAACATGACTGAGACTGTTTGTCAAAGTCCTTGTAACTTTTCAAAAATGTTGCTTTCAGGAAATCAAAAATCTGCAATACAATGGAGCAAAATAATCCAAGCGCATAAATGGAATCTTAAACTCATATAATGAAAATACTATCAAGGTCACAGACTGTAGCAATTTGGTTTGGTTTTTCCTTTCATCAACACAGTATAGGTCATATAGTGACTTTCAAGCTTTAACGATAGAGGAACCTTTCAGCTTCCCTTACGTGAATTATTTCAGGCACAAACAGGCCCCTGAATAGAATCACCAACATTCCATATTGTAGCTAACAGTTTTAAAAAAATTATTTGTGCATTACTCCACAGCTATAAGGGACTTGAAAGAAGTTTTTTTCTGATGTAGCAACTAGAAATATATTCCCCCAAGATTTGTCCATTTTATGTAGGTTTGTAACAATAACTTCAGTGCAAAATTTCCAATCATTTGCTCCCTTCACTTTCCAGAATTTTATTTTATTGTGCAAAATGACCGAAAATTGAAAATGTTTGAATGCTATAAAATGGACTAAGAATTGCATTAAAAACAGATTTTCATTCTGAGTATAATATTCTATCTTCTTTATCTTTCATGTTTCTAAACTTTAAACAACACTCACTACATTTGGGTGAGTAAGATACCATCAAGCATTACTTAGAAAATTCATGCATTATTTCAGAGGAAAAGTTGTTTAATTATGCAATACTGAATACTTTACAACATAGAGTAACTAACCTGGTCCTCAAATCTATTTATTCTAGCCAGTGATAGTGCCATGGCCAATGAGAATGGTGAAAGTGTTTTTGTAGCACTGCAATTCTGATAACCCTGTTGAAGTAATATAAACTATCTCGTATATTCATGTCGAAGAATTATTTACCACATACCCCTGCTGCTTTTGTGACTCCGTAAAAACGGTATTGCACGACTGTGCATATATTCTGATGTGACATCATTTGCATTATACAAACATTGCGTAAAGACATGCTTAATATTAGCATTACATTACAGGCATTTAAATGAAAAATAATTCTTTTTCAAAGTCAACAGTTTTTATTTTGGGTATATGATAAACAAAATATTATATTCGTGTAGATACATTACTGAATTTATTGAACATGTTGAATAAATCCAGTAATTAACCTACACTCATTCAATATCTCTATATATATATGATAATAGAACTCACACAGCTATGAAAATTTTATCACACCATCTATAAGTTAATGCATCAACATAAATATAAAAATAATTTAAAATCATTTATTCAAAACCAAAAGTTTAATACCCTTTAAGTTTAAAATTATATTCCCATTTTATATATGCCTCTTTTAGATATTTGATTGAATACAGATCCTAATATATTTATATTATCATCAACATATATGTATGCCTATACACTATGTTACTTTAACGTAGATACGTAGTTGCTGATTTTTGTTTTTTGTTGTTTTTATTCCTAACTACAAAACGAAATTAGATTGTCATAAAGCATACACTGATTACCTTCAGACATTTGATAAATTCTCTACCGAGATCTTGATGTTGTTTGACAGCAAAGCTGATGTGTAGAATGACAGTACCCTCGGTTTGTCTCAAACTTTCTGTGTTGTTGATACCATCATCTAGTAGGTCCTCACTGGAATATACAGAGATTTGTTTACATTTTCCTCCATATAAATACTATGGTTATAGTATGTTAACATTATGTATGTACACACTTAATGCATGTACAACAGTTGGGAGGGGGGGGAACCCAAAGAAAAAAAAAAATTTCAAAATTTTTTTAATCGGGCCCAAAAACCAAGACATTTTTTCTTATCGAGACAGAATGGGATAAAAACCAAGATTTTGGTTTTACACCCCAGGAAAGGTTTTTCCAAAATGTTTTTAAAATTTTTTAGTGACAAAACTTTACAAAAGCAAAAAAAGATTACCAGCAACGTCATAAAAAAAATGAACGCCATGAAAAAAATTTTTAATTTTTAAGGGAGCAAAAAAATTAATTTTTTCCCCCCCCCCCCAACCCCCCAAAAAACAGATAAACAATTATTTTTTTTAAAGGGCCCCCTTTTTGTTATTTACCTGATTCCGGTTGCCCTCGGGTTTCCCTGTGCCTATCCTCTTGAAAAAGTTATAAACCCTCCAGAACAAGCTTTTTATGCCCCTAAATTTAAAAGACACAGCTTGTTATTAAAAACCATAACTGAGGGCTCTGAGCACATCTAAAACAAAAAAAATGAATAAGAAATAATATAACAAAATTGTAGCCATGTTGACCAAACATTATTGATAGCCATTCGTTTATCTGAAACAGTAAAAGGTCATGCAATTTATACATCACATGTAATCTTTAAAAAATAAAATATAAATTTTTGAACGAAAGTATTAAAAACTTAATTTGACAAGGAAAATTTAAGGTTCAAAAGAAAAATTATTTGAATGAAATTGGACAAAGCCTATTACGTCGGATTCATCTTAACCCATTACCACGAATACCATGCCTTTAACACACCTTTTCACCCCCTCTTTTTTGGAATGCAAAATTCAAGTTTGATGAAAAAAATCAACGCAAAAAGTGATTGAATGCCCAGTTTCACCATGGTAACAGGAAATTTAAGACTGAGCACGTTGTTACAAAGTCAATGGTCCAGTCAACATTTGTGCCAAGTTTGATTAGTATTGAAGCAGTTTTTATAGTTTTACATCAATCTGAACTTGTAACGGGAGACTTTTCAATGAAAACAGCCATTTTTCACAAAATGCTCATGAAGTAATGTGTTAACACTGATTGCTGCTCTAAATAAATACAGCACAGTAAGGGCTAAAACAAGACTATTTTAAGACATTATTACTACAGCTGATTCATTATTCTGAAAACAAACCAAGCATTTTCAAGTAAGTATATATGTGTTCATTATTTATCAAAATTATTGTATTACCTTAGTAGCTAACAGGAGTAGTTGGTAAACAAGTGCTGGGATATCACCCATGTCTAGCTCTCGAAACATTCTCAACACTTTCTCTATAACAAACTTCAGCTCTTCATTGGTGAGTGGGACATCTCTAAACATAGATGCTAGGTTAACAACACTACCTGGGTCCCACCTGCAACATAACAACCAAATGAAAATATATACACCAAAATGATATTGTGACATTAAATAAGTTAAACATATACAATGATTATAATGATTATAATGCTATTACCAGGGTGTTACTCTCTAAAATTTCTGACACATTCTCTTTCTTAACATTAAAAGGAGCTGTTGGTAGTACAGTGTGTTCAACTATTCTTAGTGCCGTCATGTAAAACCAGAGCCTGGAAAATTTTCTCTAAATTAAAAAAGGGCCATAATTCTGTCAAAATCCAAGTGAGAGTTATTGGCCTTGGACAATGACCTCCTATTATGCTCTCAATTAAGTGGGTGAAGTTCCAACCCATTTTCTTCAGTAGTTTTGGACATACAAATTTGCATGCTAAAATCTTAACCAAAGTGTGATGCACACCCCTACGCCTGGGTGAGCATAACAGTTCTCCCTTGTTTTCCAGATAATTTAGCTTAAAATTGAAATTATGAAGACTAATTATTGAAATAAGCAAGACTATTATAGAAACAAATTCATGATTTTCTTACTATAATACTTATCATGTATTTATTGTATAATTCAAAATAAAAACTTGTGTATTTGTTAATGAAATGTAAGTGTATACAAAACCTGCATGAACATAGGGTGTTAAGAACATGACTTTTGTATTCTGAGCCTTTCATATGGTTCCCTGCATACACTATATTCTCCTTTGAAGCTATTGCAGACAATATCTTTGGCAGCAATTCTAAGGCTCTGTAAACAAGATACATTATTTAAATAGTTATGTTTAGCAGCTTTAAGTTTTAACATTTCAGCAGCAACAACTAGGATACATTTCAAAGATGGTAAATAACTGAAAATGAGGCATGGATTCTGAATATTATTTCAGTTATACACATACAAAACCCTGTATTTGCAAGTAGTTTTCAAGCATTTGCTTTTGGTATTTGCAAGCATGCTCCCAGCATTTGCAGACAAGTTTCCTGCATTCATGGGCAACTTTTCAGTAATTTTCTGTTTTCAACAGGTGAGTTTCTAGCATATGTAGACAAGTGTCCCCACATGTCATGGCAAGTTTTAGGCAGGCTTTTTTTAACTTCTGGCAACTGACTACTAAGAAAAAACTAAAATAGCTTAAGTTTAATAGAGTATGCAGATGTCAAGGGTATATCAACACCACATCAGCTTTCTAGCTTTATTTGATTGCTTAGAGCATTATTTCTGGTATAAACAAAATTTGACACAAATATGGATAGAGGCACTAAATTCCCTAAGATGACCTGACTGGCTGTTGGAATAGAAACAAATGCATGATTACAAGTTCAAAATGTCAGAAAACCTAAAAAGGACAGAAGGTATATATTACACATTTTTTTGTTGCCATTAATTTTCTTTAGCAATGGACATTTTAGGCAATTACATGTAGGATGTAGCATTAAATTAGCTGTTATTTTATCAAACATTATATATCTTACTTTCCTGACTGTGAGGAATCTGACTTGATACCATCAACATATATACTGGCAAGTTCTGCTAGAGTTGGTCCTGGTAATGTATCAGCCTAAAAATAAAATTTATACAAATGTGTATTTTATTGGTATTTTGGCTCTCATGATCATTTTTTGTTTGGTTGGGTATTAAGTCGCAACAACACAGTAAAGGTCATATGGCAACTTTCCAGCTTTACTGGTGGAGGAATCCCTCAGGTGCCCTTCTGTGCATTATTTCAGGCACAAATAGGCACCTGAGTAGAACCAGTAACATTCCAGGAGCAAGCTTGATAACATCCTCACAAGAAAGAATCTAAAGTGCCTATAGAGATCCACAGCAGCGGGCGGTTTAAAGTCAATGACCCTAACCACTTGGCCATGGATGCCCCTTCATTTTCATTTAGTCTTGACAAGAAATCTAAAAAAATAGTAACCCTTATCTTTAAAGCCTAAATGCACTAAATATCTTAAAAGGACTTGTCTATTTTCTACTCTGGACAAAGCCATTCATCTCTTTAAGGGACAATATTAAAATATGTATTGACTGAACTTAACAAACAGTGCAGACTCTGATCAGACTGCACAGATGTCCTAGCTGATCATGGTCTGCACTGGTTACATGAGTACACTCAGTAGCCACCAGCAGATTGATGGTTAAGGAAAAATGATAATTCAAATATTGGTCTTAAGCTTTTACGTAAATCTACTATTTTAAATCCATAAACAATACAAAATAATTGGATATCTAAAAACTGTTATGAAAATATGTTATTAATGCATATTATAAAATTTGCATAACTATAAACAGATTAATTAAGCTCAAATGCATATATTTGGTTAAAGGTACCTCTAACATCAGAAGACCGACGAGCTCCGACGCCATTTTATTGTTCATATCGTTTTTCTGAAGAGCTTCTATGCATTGTTTGTACACACAAGACCTTCTTTCTACAGAAGTTGTACAGTCTGGTGGTGAACCTACAATAAACAACTATCCTTGAAGGTGATTTTATATTTTATACTAATACACAGCTCAGATTTGTTGGTTTTTTTTTTTAGATTCTTTGTTTTAGAAATGCAGGGCTTCCATTAGGTTCCAATATTTGGAAGTCAGAGACTGCACATTGTCTGACACTGGAAGTCACATTATATAGGTAAAGAAGGAAAAGCATTAAATTTTGGAAGTCACAAACCAAAATCAAGGAGTAAATGGCTCCCAAACTTCCAGTATGAAGAACCTATGTGGAAATATTTTAATATGTTAATAAACAAATATGATTTTTAATGTAATTTATTCATTTTTACACCATAAGAATTGCTTGTTTCTATCTACAATATACATTATTGTCATTCAGAATGTCATATTCTTAAGCATTCTTTGAAATCAGTTCAAACACTATGTGGTTCCTGTCTGGTTCTTTAACTTATCAATGATGTAACACTATAACTAAGATACATGCATAATGATGTAAATTGTATCTGTAAACAATTCATAAAATCATTACATACGAGATGTACTTAGACCAGATGAACGCAGTTGGATACAAAACTATGTTTTTGAAAGTAAACGAAGACTAGAAAATCACACAGTCAATTCATTTTATGTCATTGTTGGAGAGAATCTTTTTAAATAAAAGGAGAATTTTTTGTCAATTAAGTGCATGATTAATCTTTAACCATGGAAGGCTAGCCCTAATTAAGACTTTAGACTGTTTGATGTTATATCAATATCTAAGTAAATAAAGTAAACAACGATATCAGTATGGAGTCTAGTTGTACTGCCAAGAGCTGAAAAATTGGCCAAAGTATGCTATTTTGGTAGCTGCTACAAGTCATCATATTAAACTCAGCCTCAGAGCTTTTCTTCCTTCTACAGCAGGAGCTCAGTTTTAAGACAGCTTCCCCTCTGAAAAATTCTTTCAAAACATTCAGTTCATTCAGTTCCCTTAATTTAACAGAAGGGCAAGTTCCCCTACCTAAGAAAAAAAGCCCTGAAAATTCAGCACAAATCTAGACTTACCTAGCAATATTGCTCGGACAAGAGTGAATGTGTCATTTCTCCCCTTCAACACCTTCCTCTCTATCATTTTACACAACTGTCAAAGTAAACAATCATTAAAAGCAAATTATACCTTATATACCGGTTCAATACAAATAAAATATTTGATTGTTGAAAAAAAAATTTACTTTATAAACCTTAATATTCTATTCTATGAAGAACACCTCCTTTACATAACATTTTTTTATATAAATGAATGCCAATAAACAAGTCTCTCCTTTTCACTTTATTGAAAATGACTGTATTAAATCCAGTGCTCATGAATGATTGGGTCATCTTATAAGACTTAAATTAAAATAGCTTCAAAGATTTATACAAGAAGCTCTAAACAGTTTAAAAAATAAAAAAATGCCCTCTAGATTTTGAGGTATAACAACATAAAACATATGGAATTTCGTTTGCCCCTAGTATCTGGAAAAAGAAAAACCAAGGATCTCTTACTTCTTGAGCAAGCTTCTTACCACTTTCTTGGCCATGTTCAAGTCTTATTCTAATAAAGTTAAAACCATTTCCACTTATCAAATATGATAACTATGTTTCTGGTATTACCTCATCATTACTGACTGTTTTTAGACATTCCCCCAGCTCTTCTATCTTATTATCTTCTGCAAAGGTGATAATCTTCTTATCCATTTCTGCCACCGTAGAAAATGCAACCTTAAACAAAACAACATTTCACATTAACATTATTACCACAAAAATGTTTCAAGGTCATATTAGCCTCAAACTCTACATAAATCGTAAATGTTTTAGAATAGAAGCAGTAATAACATCCATGCCTTTTTTATTCTGTAAAGTTGTCCTTAATAGATGGAGATATTCATAAAGTCAAAAAAAATGCATAAAGTTTGCCATATATTACATATACTACAGAAATAAATCAATCAATAAAGTTTTGGACTGAGACACTTACTGGTAAGACCCAAAATCCTACCTAACTCCATCCTAGGCAACTCTCAATAACAATTTTATTATTTATAATATTATTTTAATAACACAAGTGAGACATCTGCTTCTTAAGACCAGAGGGAGATACAAAATTTTGACAATGGCTCATGCTTTTTCTAAAGGTGGTTTTGCCAGATCCAGAAGGGAAAGAGGGCACAAGTAAGATTTTGCTTTATTTTCACTAAAAAAATGTACAATAAAATCTGAAAATTGATGTTATATAACATTTTATGACTTATTAGTCAAATCATGAACCCATATCCACTCCGCTTCTGGTGCAACATTTTTGTTAGAACAATGAACTACAGTCAACTATGTTTAAATTGGTTTTTTTAATTGACAAATTATAGCGGGCAACACAAGCATGGGGACAGGGACCAAGTGTCTGTTGATGAACTAGATGGAACAAATCAGTGTCTGAGGTAAGGTACAGGTAGTATGTGTCATTATTTCGGAGTGAACGGTTGACCTTTTGATTTTTTATTAAAGTAAACATACATGGACAAATGCGGGTTTTTAGTTAAATTACCCAATTAAAGACACAAAATAACAAAAGCATTTTCGACATTCATATAATTTTGAAGAGTGCCATACGGCTAGACATAGTCAAAATATATTGACGTGCCAAAGCTTGATTCTGAGATATTTTCGTTCTGGGGCAGAATCTCGCTTTAACGTCAAAACCAAAAGGAGACCTTTCTGTGGTGAAACGTGGATTTCGATGTAAATGTGAAAATGCAGACAATTTAAACTAAGAATTTATTCAACAATACAATTTTAAGGAATTAACAGCACAAAAGGTGCCAGACTATCAACTTGTAATAAAGTAAACCACGTTAGTTTCATTTCACCGTCTCATTTGTGTAACAACGCCGCCATATTGTGATGTTGCTACAGTACTGTAACATGTACGCTAAAAATCGATATTGTTCGGTACCTTGCGTGAATGTTGTCATTTTTTTGCGTGGCTAAAAAAATATGTAAAACTATTAAAAAGAGGAAATTTTTCTTAAATGATGTTATCATTAATTATATTTATTGCTACAATAAAATAAATCGCCAGGAAATTATCTTTAAATACTTTTGTAATTCATGATAGAAATCTTTAAAATGATGCGGGGTAACTTTTAATTTAGTCCTCTTTTTTATAAATATGTTTATTAAAGGTTAAGGATAAACAAAATACTGTATTTCATTAAAATGTATATTTTCATCAATCTGTAGTATTATCTATGTTAGTATAGTTATGTTAGTCACAACTTGCTGTGTATTAAAAACAGCAACTCCTTGCCTATAGGAAAGTTTTGTTTTTCAAACGTGCATTACGCTATGAAAGAATTCAAATGGTAAATTCTTGCGTTAATTTTTCATTCCTCAACTGTTTTCAGAAAAATAAAACTCGTTACTCCGAGCATCCATTTTTCGTTTGTCTGTATCTGAAAGAACCTGTGTACATGTACCATTTATCCGTGTAATAAAAGACTGTTATCATAGCATGTCGATCGTAATGGCCTGGATATTTCGTGTTGTTTAAGCGATGTTCCAGAAAAGTTTTGCAGAAAAGTTTTGTCCCGGTATAGAAAATATATTCAACCTAATATTTATTTTTGAAATGTGTCAACTACATGTATTCCACAACGCCGACACCGGTAGGCTGGCCAATATACACTTCGGAAATGTTGACACTAGTAATAATTGATGCGCAGTCCTGTTTCTTCCTTACTTAATTTCTTTGTGTCAACTATAAATTTATAAGATTAAGTTTTAAATAAATAAATTTGGTTTTTTAAATTCGAGCCGTGATTCCTTTCCGGAATCAGTTAAACAATTTTCCATGCTGACACTGTCAAAATTGAGAAGAAGTTATTTTTAGATTGTATTACATGTAATCATTTTTCAATTTATAATTATAAATATACTTGATGATTTATTTTAAAGACGATAATTTTATGCTTAAATTTCTTTCTATAATACATTTATGAAAGTTGTTTAAACGATGTTAAGAATTTAAATGTGTTACGGTCCCGAGTTTCCTCAGTACATTTTCCCGGCTTACCAATACGCTTTGAATTTACGCAAGATATGCCAACTTTTTAAGTTTTGAGTTGTTGCATTTAATTATAAGGAACTTTTTTTCTGTTTTTCTTTCTAAATTTACTGGAAGGTTAAAATCTTAATGTTCGTTCTTTATCAAAAACTCAAAAAAATATAGAAAAAAGAACTGAGGAGGCGCCGTGATTTATTACCGATTTTATAAGTTCGTTTTCCAAAGCAACACCTTTTATATTTAGGGCAGTAACAATCTGTATCATATTATTGTTTAAAATAAGTAAACTTGTTGCATAACCCTTAAATCTTATAAGATTGGACAAGAATCAAAGAAATCACAGACACTTGGGGTGTGAAGCTCAAAACGCCTTTAAAATCCAAATAAAATGTATATGGAGCCACATTTGAATTTGTCGAAAGATTTTGTAAATGGAGTAAAACGGCGATAATCTCGATGTTTATGTTGCCAGTTGCATTGTTTATATGACCGTTGAAGTTTAAAATTGACCATCATCTTGAAGATTTATATCTTTTGTGTCGATGGACCAAAGGATTTTGTGAAAATATTGGAAACAGAATAAAATACATGGTGTTTTAGACGGCAGGTGTGCGGATTTTTTTCCGGCGAACATTTTTATCTTGTGTATTATTATAGACGTTAAAATATTTTTTTTTTTTCCAAAATGGCTTATATTTAGTTTTTTATACATATATGATCAGTACATGTGCTGGTATTGACAAATATACACTTTATTTTGATTTTAAAGCTCCAAAGTGTCTGTGAAAGAAATTAGCGGCGCAGCGTTTTGTTTAAATGTAACATTGTAAAACAAGCATTTGATAGTATTGCGGGCAATACAGTAGTCCCCTACCGGTCCCTCAAAAAGTTCTTTAATTGTCATACACTCCTGTGTATTGCCATTTATAATGAATTTGAGGATGAAGTCTGTATTTGAAAATATCGACCACAAAACATAATAAAACAAGCAATTATCATAGTATTGCAAGCAATCCATAAGTCCCCTACCGGTAAGAGCCCAAGCAACATTCTGAAGGGCCATTGGCCATTCACTTAGGTTCCTATTTTAAGTAAATTTGTTGAAAAAGTTCTTTAAAAGTGATCACAGGAAACAGTTTTTATGTACAGACAGACGGACTGAAGGACACTCTAAAGTTATTTTTTAAACATCCCTGTTATCAAAATATAACATTTTTAAAATCCTATCATGATTGAAGAAGTTGGAGTAAAAATTACCAATTTCTCAAAAAAAAGTCTAAGTTCAAAAGGGGCATAATTCTGGAAATAGTCTTGCTAGAGTATTGAACACTCACAAATGTTGAGTGATAATAAGAAACATTTATATGAAGTTTGAAGTAGATACATTCAGAAAAAGAAGTTATTAAAAAAAACAATGTTTTTTTCATGAAAATTTTAAGTTCAAGGGAGGTAATTCTGATAAATTTTGTGCTAGAGTTGTGAACCTTGTCACATATGATGTGGTTGATGACAAGCAACTTATATTTAAAGTTTGAAGAAAATACCTTAAGAAATAAAGAACTTATAGTGAAAAAACTTAAAAACTAGAATCAGAAATCTTGAAATTCAGTCTATTTGTTGCCATAGCAACCAGAATTTTCAACATAGGAAGATAAGAAAAGGATGTGCATAATTTCCATACTGCCATCTACCCATATGTCGAGTTTCATAAACATATTTTCAGTACTTTTTGTGTTATCACTGGATCCAGGTTATGTGTAAAATTTGCCATATTTTCAGTCTATTTGTTGCCATAGCAACCAGAATTTTCAACATAGGAAGAAAAGAAAAAGACGTGCATAATCTCCATACTGCCATCTATCCATATATCAAGTTTCATAAAAATATTTTCAGTACTTTTTGCGTTATCGCGGGATCCAGGTTATGTGTAAAATTTGCCATATTTTCAGTCTATTTGTTGCCATAGCAACCAGAATTTTCAACATAGGAAGAAAAGAAAAAGACGTGCATAATCTCCATACTGCCATCTATCTATATATCAAGTTTCATTAAAATATTTTCAGTACTTTTTGCGTTATCGCGGGATCCAGTTTTGTGGACGGACGGACTGACGGATGGACAGACGGACGGAGGGTAAACCTAAAGTCCCCTCCGGTAAACCGGTAGGGGACTAATAAGTTTGTCTATATCACAGTAATGTGTTAAGTTTCGATGCTTAGTAAGGAAATTATGTTTATACAACCTTGTCATATTATTACGATGTGGGATTTTAAAGTAAATCCTATAAAGAATGAAGAAGTTGGAGTGAAAATACCAGTTTCTCGAAAAAAATCTAAGTTCAAGGGGGACATAATTCTGGAAATAGTCTTGCTAGAGTATTTAACCTTCTCAAACATGTCGAGTGATAATAAGAAACATATATATGAAGTTTGAAGTAGATACATTAGGAAATAAAGAAGTTATTTAAAAAAGACAACATTTTTTTCCCCTAAAAAATCTAAGTTCAAGGGAGGTAATATTGATATTTTTTGTGCTAGAGTTATAAACCTTGTCACATATGATGTGGTTTGATGACCAGAAACTTATATTTAAAGTTTGAAGTAAACACCTTAAGAAATAAAGAACATATAGTGAAAAAGCTGAAAAATTTAAATCAGAAATCTTGAAATTCAGGCTATTTGTTGCCATAGCAACCAGAATTTTCAACATAGGAAGAAAAGAAAAAGATGTGCATAATCTCCAGACTGCCATCTACCCATATTTCAAGTTTCATAAAAATATTTTCAGTACTTTTTGAGTTATCACTGGATCCAGTTTATGTGTTAAATTTGCCATATTTTCAGACTATTTGTTGCCATAGCAACCAGAATTTTCAACATAGGAAGAAGAAAAAAAGACGTGCATAATCTCCATACTGCCATCTATCCATATATCAAGTTTCATAAAAATATTTTCAGTACTTTTTGCGTTATCGCGGGATCCAGTTTTGTGGACGGACTGACGGACTGACAGACAGACGGACGGAGGGTAAACCTAAAGTCCCCTCCGGTTAAACCGGTAGGGGACTAATAACCACGTTGATTCTTCAAATCTCACCTCGCCATGCATGTATTTTATAAAAGAAAATAATTTCTTAGCATAAAAGTCAATTGTATGGGATAAATATTTACTGTATACCAACATTATGAAAGTCTTTTGCAAAACAAAACAAAAAACAATAACAACAGCAAAATAAGGCGGGGCACCTGTTTCATGAAATAAATTTCCGAGTATTTTTTCTCTGCTACCCCGGTCATTTTAAAACAATTTTCATACCTTCGTTTGTGTGTGTCTGTTTCTTTCTAAAAAACATCTTCAGAAAGCTTTTTGGAGAAAACTATCCAGAATTATGGGCCTGCGTGAATAGATTTAAAAAAAGAAATTTACGTGGAATTTTGTTTTCGCACATACATGTATAATGTCGAGGCACCGCGTTTGACGCTTATTCGTTTTATTATTGATAAAAATTATTTTGAACATTGAAAGTATCGTTTAATAGTTAATCAACCTGATTATAAATAACAGACTGTTAAATTCCTTAGAATGGTGTTTTCTCGTAGTCGCAAAGGCACTAGGAATCCGTACGTTGCTCTTTAAACATATAAACCTCATGTTTCTGCTCTTATCATATCCCTATTTCCATCATAACCGTGGAAAAAAATTCTATAGATACCAATAGGTCCCATGTCTTATATTTCCTTGGAAAGCTGACCAAAATATTTTTTTTTATAAACAAGAAACGGTTTAGTGAGGAGTCCATTTACAGAGTAGCTTTTCTATAAACTATAATAATGATTTTGATATTTCTAAGAACGCTCTGACAATAACGAATAAGTTGTGCATCTGCTCCAATAAAATACTATATTCAACCTATCATAATTATTAATTTTTGATTTTTTGCATAAATAAATGTCTTAAATATAACATTAAACTTGATATTTTACTTAGAGTGTTTCGTCGTTTCTCAGTAACGCAGTACCACATACACACCAGTGTAGTTATCAACAGTGTATATGTCACGTGACATTAGCGGCGATGTCTTTATTTTGATGGTGCATGTGTTTACTTTTCTATCAAAATCTTTATGTTAGGAAGATTTTCACAAATAAAACATGAAACTGATGTAAAAATGAATAATCTTTAAATGTATCGTAACAAATTTATTCAAATATGAATTCTAATACGATTTTACACGGTCCAAAGCTTGAGCTCAAAATCCCTGCGCAAATTTCACCACAGAAAAGGTACTTTTTATGTTGTACGTAGAGGCGAGATATTGCCCAGACACGAAAATAGCACAATATCTCGTCGCGCAGTACAATTAGTTGGACTACGGTTAGACAATGCATTGTTGCCTGGCTAGACGTAACATACAGCTAGAACTTTTGGCTAGCTGTACAAGCCTGTACGGCTAGCCACTTCCAAATACAAAACAACCGATAAAATAATAAATTTTCCATCAAAACAATTGTTAATGTTATATATAGCTAGAATATAGATTTCTAGTTTTGATTGTGGTGCCGGGTGGCCAAACACTGAAATTGACGCCTGTGCCACAGGCGCTAGTCAATAATGAAATATTTTACATAATCGGCCTATATATGTATATTAAGATATCTTATTATAGTATAGACCTATAGCTATAGCATTTAGAACATAAAAAATTATGTTTGTTCAAGGGTAGCAAGACACCTCACCCCCCAGACACTTCACCCCTCAAATTTTGAAGACACTTCACCCCTTAAGACACTTCACCCCCAAAATCAGTAAGACACTTCACCCCTCATCCAATTTTTTTCTATAAAGTAAATAAAACAAGTTGGTCAACAACAAAATGCTTATAAATGTTTATATTTATTATTTTTTGTATTAGATCTAATTGATTAAAAATTTTGCTTATTAGCCCGGGGTTCTATGATATCAAGGTACTTATCATTTATCGGAAAATATTTAAATATAAATATCATAAATGAATGAGATTTTTCTTCCATCTTATAATTGAACCTTTTCCTGAACTGTTTGTCAAAAAATTATTTCAAAAGAACCAATAAAAATGACATTTTTTAAAATATTTTCAATGTCTGCCATTTTGGGTAATTTCAGAGGAGGTTACTACGGTATCAAGGTAATCCCCAAAAAAGCAAGTATGGAAGGATAGATGGGTCAAAACTTTCAAGTAAAGTTGTGAAAAACTTCCAACAGTTAACTTGCTATAAAATTAAAACTATATGAACAGACTATATGTCAGTATATGTATTTAAAACATATTTTAATTGACTGTGTAAAAACCATTAATAAGGAAAATGGTAGTAAAATATGAAGGTTTTACAAAATAGTTTTTTTGCCACAAATATATTCATTATTCACCAAATTAAATTTATTGGCAGATGAAAATGAATCTAGTGTGCAAGTTTTACAAATATCAGCATCATCATGTGTTGCTTTTACTAGTAGTTTCAGAAAATTTAAATACCTTGATATCATAGAACCCTTGATATCATAGGAACCGAGTATACCTTTATTTTTACTAAGTTTAAGCTGATTTAGGTTAATTGGTTCAATGTATTGCCAAATGATATATCATGGCACTTTTATCCATTAAGTGTTTATGGCATGTCACCTTGTTTATTCAACATGTTGATTAGTTGTTTATTCAACGGTTATCTCAGACTTCCCGAAATACGTCGGTCCGACGGACATGTCAGATAAATTTTGATCAGGTCCGACAATTTTTTATTCCGGATCTGTCCGACTGACAGGCTTTTATCCAAGCCGCATGTATACAAAATGGCGTCGCTAAACGTGCCAAACCTGGGAAAAACCGAAAATCACTATTGAATGTATTTAACATAATTTACATAAATAATTGTTAAACACAAAATAAAAAAAAATGAGGGGTGAAGTGTCTCAATCAAATTTCTTAAAATGAGGGGTGAACTGTCTGAGGGGTGAACTGTCTGCAAAAAAGGGCCTAGGGTGAAGTGTCTGGGGGGTGAAGTGTCTGTAAGCCTGTTCAAGCACCTGTGGCCTGTGCAGGTATCTAGAAAATCTGGGTTCGAATTCTGGAGAAGGGCATGCTCAGAGTATAATCTAACCAGATCTATTAAAACTTCTACATTTACGATACTGTTTTATATATTCTTAAAGTTTACATTCTGCGAATATTAAGATTGAATCACCAGTTTTCTTGTTTGTAAACATCAAATATGGCGGGAATTTTAATGAACACAAAGAACGGGCAAATACCACAAAGAAATGGCGAACTTAACTTTATAGCTCGTGTTGTGTCGTGATGTGTTCTTAAATTATCCTCTTCATTTTTAAACTAGAGAATAAACCGATTTGCTTAGGTTTTAAATATATGTTAGTTGATAATTTTTCTCCTGGGATTTGCGGTAGACAGACGTTTCACTATTGAGACGGTTCACACCAAGACGGTTCACACCAAGACGTTTCACTCCCAAATGGGAGTGAAACGTCTTGAAGACATTTCACTCCCATTTTATACCAAAATTATTTTGATACGTATGATATACTACAATAGACCTTAATTTTACTAAAAAATGAAAGTTTGTATGTCATTATTGTTAAAGTTTTATTTTTTTATTTTTTACTTGATTAGAGATGTCTTTGATCTGATATCTTTTCAGATATTTATTCTTATTTAGGGAAGGATATCATATATGACCGGATATAATTGTATGAAAGTTGCAGTTCATTAAAGATTTTAATGATAATAATTTATAAGTGGTTATCTTTGCATTAATTAAGTATATTTTTATATCAATAAGTAAAAAAAAAATCTGTAGATAATCTTACATAATATATTAAATATGATTATCTGATTAAATATTATTTTATTTTTGTTATAATTTATAACCAAAACTTATGGAGGAGTTTCTGTTTCCATGACTTTGGTTTTAATTGTATGAACATTGTCTAAAAATATTTCAATGGTCCAATAAACAACTAATTAATAACTGTTGATGCTAAAGTGCAATGTTTATACAACTAATTTAAAAGTGATGTCAAACTGTTAATTGGTGGTCTCAGTGTTTATACAACTAATTAGGTGATGAGATTAGTGTTAACACCACAATTACCTAAGTTTGTTTAATGGCTACTGTTCAATAAATTGATAAAGAAATAATTTAAAAGAATAATTAATTTTATGCACATTTGCTGCATTTCATTGATAAATATATTTACAAAAAAACTAATAAATATATTTTATATATATTGATATTATTTAATTACTGTACTGGTAGTGGTTTCAATATTCAAACTAGTACTTACAATGTGTCTTTGTTGTTCATGAACATTTTCATTTTGTTATTCTATTATCTTTCTTGGATTTATTATAAATAGAATTTTCTCGTGTTGTTACTGTTATAATAAAAACGTTATTTCAGACATTTGTCTTTCATTTAAATCTCTTATCATTCAACCCATAGTTAAATGAGTATAATGATAATCTTCTAATAATTCATCATAATTACGTCCTCATTGAAACCAATATTTTTACTCCTAATAATTAACAGGAATTCTTCAAAACACTGTTTAAACGGAACAAAATTCACTTTTCTGAGCTGATACTATAGGCCTAGTGTATCTATATAGATCATAATTATTTACACATTCTGTTATATTTCAGAAAAATTATACTTTTAGGCCTATAATTATTCTTCAAATTCATAAATTCTTCTTAACAATACTCTCAAATTCAACAAAATGAATCATTAAATTGAATTTCCCCTTCATAATGAAAATAAATTTTCTTAATAAAAACATCTAAAAAACGGGAGTGAAACGTCCATACAATTGACAAAATGGGAGTGAAACGTCTAGGTGTGAACCGTCTTGGGAGTGAAACGTCTCAATAGTGAAATGTCTTGGGAGTGAAACGTCTGACATTCTGGATTTGCGATGTCTCTTTAAGTCCCCAGTTAAGCATTTTAAACCGCACGGATAGTGAAATCTTCGCTACATCATATTTACATTTTGAAATGACAGGAATTCAGGTAAATCTGGAGAAACGAATAAAATATGAACCCATTGTGAAATCATATGGTTGAAAATAGAATTATAATGACCTCGTTTAACCTCTTTACACATCGTCATACTACAGACCTCATGAACGTCATTAAAATAGTGTTATATGTAATACTGTAGAATTATCGATCTTGTTCATCATATTTTATGCTGCTGCAAGTCACTTAAAAGGTTAGCAAACTCAAAGAAAACGCCTGGCTTACAAGTCACTTTAAATTCCCTTAGCTTCATGGGCTTATTAGGATATCCCCACAGTAAAGCCCCATATTGCTTCCTTCAAAACTTTACGAAGACTTGAAATCTTTCAATAATAAATGTTTTTTTTTTAATTCAGCAAATGGTAAGTTTCCCCACAAGGCTAAAAGATTCTATATTTACATGTTCACATCCAATTCCACTCTTGTTAGATCTGTTAAATCAGTAGCTGTGCAAAGTTTAAATAAATTATATTATACGTATTCTTTCTGAATATAAATTTATATTTCTATAGCCAATGCCTTTAAACTTTCATTTGCTATATTTTCTCAAGCTGGAAGAGTTATCAATGAGTTAAGTGCGATCAATGAGATAAGTGCGTCGAAAAAAATCTTTTAAATAACACACATTAAACGTAATTTAACATCAAACGAAGTTTATCAAATTTAGTATTGGTTTGCAACTTTCTATTCAAGTCAGTATTTCTCAAATTTTTATTTTAAAAATAAAATAATTTTCTCCCAGTGGGACTAGATTATATAGAAATGCTTCCACTGGGACCGAAAATTATACAGTCCTTAAAAAGCACACTGTAGTGTTTAATAAAAAATACATTGTATATTTCTATAATTTTAGATCATACATGGATATGTGTAGTTTATGTTAAAATTAAAGAAACTATACATGTGTATTAAATGCTTTTTTAAATATACTAAAATATTTAGATAAATAGTTTTCTCAATACAAATGTCATTGATATATTTTCTCAGATGGTTAGTGGTCGATTACCTTAGTTATTGACCTAGAATACACGCAAACTATGTTCAGTTTATAGAAACATTTTCTGTCATATCAATTCAGAAATAAACTACTTAACGTATTTTTAAGAAAATAATAACGTTTTATTGCAGGCAATATGTTTGTTTAGTAAACAATATAAGACATCAAGAGGTCTAAGCAAACGTATCAATGTACATCTAGACGTAGCCAGTTACTTGCTGAAAGTGCGAAGCCGCAAATATCATGTGCAAATATTTTGCCATAGCGAGGTAAAAACCTTTGGCAGCCAGAAATGTGTTTTTTTATCATTCGTAGAATCTATTTAAAACAGTTTAAAGAGGCATTACAATCTGGACAGGACGGATGCAATATTTTTGTCAAACGGTTAATAATTCTTCGTGATCAAAAGAACCACAAAAAAGCATAAAGGAAAATATATAGGCATAGGGCGAGTCCGAGGAAAAATAAAATTACAGGACAGTAAACACTGCCATTCGCAAGGCTGAAAAGAAATCTGTAAAAGGGGAGATCCATTCTAAGCAATGAAAATAACAATATAACATGAAAATTGCACAACCGGTTTCATTGTGACTGTTCATGAGAGATAATGTAAAAGTGTAATATCTCTCATGCCCCAGAGTGGTATTCATTCTTTAACATTAACGTGCTGGAATCAATTATCCCAAAAGACCAGAAAAATATAACAACACTGAAGTGAAATACGACGGCAATATTTTACTGCTGGCATGCGGTACTTGTCACTAATTCGGAATTCTCTTCTGGCCAACGTTGTGCAAACCCTTGCTCTGAATCAGATTATGGAAAAGTTAACTCAATTGTGCCATGTGTTCTGAGCATACAGGCTGTTGTTACTTTTTAACTGCATATTTCATCGATTTCATTAACACTATATACTTGTTTCAAATTTCTCAACAAATACATTCTTCCCCTGACGCGCACCGGTTGGATGGATGGATAGATCAGGACTGGCTTTTTCTATTTTTTCTCTTGAAAGAGTAGAACCAAAAAACTAGATTATATACAAATTTCTGATATAATTAACACCCTGAAACTGCTTTATTACTTCAATAAATTATTTTTTCTGACGGGATTCAAATTTTCACCAGTTTGAGGCAAATGATTAATTCTAAGTCAGTATCCTTGAGTCCTTAATCACTCAGAGAACCTGTTGGTTTGAATAAAATAAATGCAGTGATTTGATTTAAACAATATTTACCGGTATTTCTTTTTCAATATTTATAGACAAATATATAAATTGCATTTCCATGGTCTCCAGAAGAGTCTAGGTGGCAGAGCTTCCTTTCGTTGTGTGTGTTTTTTTATAATTTAGAAACGCATTATCATACCTGTATTTCATGCAGGCTTAAAAACATATTACTTATTCACTGGTCTAAGAAATTGATGGAAAAACTACTACAAACCAACAAAATAACGAATAGATTTACTGCAGTTAAAAGTAATAGCCACCTTTTAAAAAGTTTCCACGCTAATCTACTAGACTAAGTAAACTACCAATGTTTTATTCCTTGTTGGACCCCTTCTAAGACCAATGATAATCCAGGCATCATCTAGACTTGAATGTTCTTAAACTATTGTCTAACACAAGGTGAGCACAGGTGTTGGGCGTTGATTTTTATTTTATTTATTTGTTGTTGTTGTTATCATTGTTATTTTATTTTTTTATCTATTTATTAATTTTTTTTTGGTGGGGAATGAAGGAAATTTAATTCAAAGCATATATCAAATATTAAATCACATTTTAAATAAAAAATAATGCAGTTGGCATTGTTTTGTTTAAGAGGGTAGTAGAGTGGATAACGGGCTTGTGGACAGGGTAGTGACTAATCAACGCGCCGATAAACTGTGATGGTGAGAAAGTAAGTCTAGGAGTTGATTAATGCTGCTTTCTGCACATTGATTTTGTGAAGAATTAATCTCTTTTTTTTTTTTTGATAGGCGAATTATATTCATCATATTGAAAGTATACTGCAGTATGATACAAAAGAGACAGAACATCAAAACACTCGACAATCTAGTTAATACTCGGGGGCTACGACCCCTCGTACAAATCAGATAGTCTTGTGTTTCGATGCTCTTTCTATTACTTGATGTTAGATTTCTTCAAAATTCTGTTCTGCTGTCATCAGATTAGACATTACAATTTCCTTTTATACACTATAG